GAATGTTTTAAGGAATTTTGAAGGATTTTTAGAGGAATTTTTAAGGGATTGTTAAGGGAATTTTAAGGGTTTTTTGAAGGACTTTGAAAGACTTTTTAAGGAATTCTTAAGGACTTGTAAAGGATTTTTGAAGGAATCTTGAAGGAACTTTGAAGGAATTTTAAAGGAGTTTTTAATTTTTTTTTTGAATTTTTAGGATTTTTGAAGGATTTTTGAAGGAATTCTTAAGGAACTCTCTTCCAAACCTGCAATTCTTTGACCCTCCCCACTCTTCCTCCAACACTATGATGCATCACCCACCCAGGAATATTTGGGAATTTTGGGAATTTGCAGGAATTTCTCCTTTACCTTCACATTTCGACCCCGATGCCCCCAAAACCGAGGTTTTCCCGTCGCCCTCGGCGATCCCGGAGTCGGATCCTTCCTCCTGCAGGGACCAAAAAACCGCAAATGAACCAAGCAGAGCTCGCAGAAACAACGGGATGCGGCACTTCCAACGCCAGCAGGACCAGGAATAAAAAATTCCCACCAAAAAAAAAAATCCTAATTATTTTTATTCCCTGGAAATCGGCGCGAAAAACCCGGGAAAAATCTTTAACGCTGGCAAAAATCCCAAAATAATCGCTGTTTTTTTATGGAAAAAGCGGAATTTTGGGATTTTTTGCCACCTCCCAGCTCTGTTTTTTCTCACCCCAACACTGGGAATTTTTGAAGAATTTTTCAGGATTTCGGAAGGATTTTTAAGGAACTATTTTTGGAATTTKTTTGKAATTTTTRGGAATTTTTGAGGGAAGATTTTTCCGAGCTTTTTGCTTGGAAGCCGCCGAAAATTATCCTAACCACAATTAGGCAGTTCCTACTGGAAAAAAAGTGGGAAAAAGGGAAAAAAAGGAAAAAAAATTGGGAAAAAAAATTGGGAAAAAGGAAAAAAAATTGGGAAAAAAAAGCAGGAAAAGCCGGAAGCGAGGCCTGGAAGTGCCGCAGCCCGGAAAAAACGCGCTCGGAGCCGTCGGGAGAACAGAGAAGGGGAACTCTGTCCTTGCTTTGTGGACTCCGAGAACTTTTTGGAATTTTTTTTTTTTTGGGAATGCAAAGATTGGATGTTTAAAAAAATCAAAAAATAGTAAAAAAAAATCCAAGTTCAGGCAGTCCACGGTGCACAGGTACAGAGAAGGGGCGGCTCTGTACGAGAAAAGAACCCACCTGRGCGGTGGGGTTTTACCTGGGGCCGGTCTCGGAGGGGCTGAGCGGCGTTTGGCTCCGTTGGGAGAGTCTGARCGGCATCTGCGGAGGGCAGGTAAAACAGGAGGGGGGAAAAAAAAAAAATTCCCTGGAAAATGGTTGGGAGAGCCCCCCCCGAGAGGCTGAGAAAGGGTTGGGAAAATTTGGGAGAGCGGGGGGTGTTTAAAGTGTGGATTTGGGGGAAATTCAGGATCTTCTTCGAAATGGAAAAGTTGTTCCTTTCCTACACCTGAGCCTGGAAAAGTCCCTGGTCCTGTTTTCCCAAGGAAGAAATTTAAGGATTTCAGGGTCTGCACATCACTGGAAGGAGCTGGATGAAAATTCAGGATTTGGATGAAAATTCGGGATCTTCGTCCCAAAAGGAAAAATGGTTTTCTTATACCTGATCTTGGGAAAATCCTTCAGAACATGGCCCTGACATCCTAAAAGAAGAATTTAAGAATTGTGGGATCTGCAGCTCACTGAAGGAATGGAAATTCGGGATTTGGATGGAAATTTGGGATCTTCTTCCCAAAGGGAAATGTTGTCCCTTTTCTGAAGCCTAATCTTGGAAAAATCCTTCAGAATGTGGCCCCGACATCCTAAAAGAGGAATTTAAGGATTGTGGGATCTGTGCCTTGTTGGAGAAATGGAAATTCAGGATTTGGATGGAAATTCAGGATTTGGATGGAAATTCGGGATCTTCTTCCCAAAGGGAAAAATGGTTCCTTTTCCTACACCTGATCTTGGAAAAATCCTTTAGATCCTTTGCTATCCTAAAAGAGGAGTTTATGGATTATGGATCTGTGCCTCATTGGAGGAATGGAAGTTCAGGATTTGGATGGAAATTCAGGATTTTCTTCCCCAAGGGAAAAATGGTTCCTTTTCCTACACCCGACCTTGAAAAATCCTTCAGAACATGGTCCTGACATCCTAAAAGAGGAATTTAAGAATTGTGGGATCTGCAGCTCACTGGAGGAATGGAAATTCGGGATTTGGATGGAAATTCAGGATTTTCTTCCCAAAGGGAAATGTTGTTCCTTTTCTTCAGCCTAATCTTGGAAAAATCCTTCAGAACGTGGCCTTGCTATCCTAAAAGAGGATTATGGGGTCTGCACTTCATTGGAGGAATGGAAATTCAGGATTTGGATGGAAATTCAAGATCTTCTTCCCAAATGGAAAAGTTGTTCCTTTCCTACACCTGAGCCTGGTAAAGTCCCTGGTCCTGTTTTCCCAAGGAAGAAATTTAAGGATTTCAGGGTCTGCACATCACTGGTTTCAGGGTCTGCACATCACTGGAAGGAGCTGGATGAAAATTCAGGATTTGGATGAAAATTCGGGATCTTCTTCCCAAAAGGAAAAATGGTTTTCTTATACCTGATCTTGGGAAAATCCTTCAGAACATGGCCCTGCCATCCTAAAAGAAGAATTTAAGAATTATGGGATCTGCAGCTCACTGGAGGAA